AAGAACTCCTTAACTTTTTTATAGTAGTTGATATTTAGCGAAAAGTTGCAAGTGAGAGGTTGTTTTTTGGCCTCGGAAACAAAATAAGATACCAAGAGAGAACAAACATCAATTGTTTTTAAAAAGTCAGTGTTTTGTGAATATCGTTCATATCGTATTTTAAAATTTTCAAAGTTATCAATATTTTCAGAATACCCAACATCATAAAAATTTTCAGAATTTCAAATATTCCAAAAATTCTGGAAATTTTAAGAATTTTAAAAAATTTAAGCATTTTCAATATGTTCATAATTTTCGAGATTGTCATTATTTCAAATGATCCAAAATTTTCAAAAATATCAATATTCAAAATTTTCTAAATTCTCATGATTTTTAATCAAAAGTTTTCAAAACTTGCTATATCTTCTTAAATTCCAACGTCTTGCATATCTCCAATATTTTCAAAATTTTCACAACTTTCAACATTTTCAAAACAGTAAAAATTTTCAAAATTGTCAAAACTTTACATTTTCAAAAATTTCACAATCTAAAAAAATTTATATATTCTTGGGTTTCTAGGAATTTAAAATTTTTTATTACATTTCCAATATTTTCATTTCAAAAATACTCAGAAGTAGTATTGGAGATTTTCTAAATTTTCGAGATTGTCATGGTTTCTATGTTCCAAAATTTTCGGAATTTTCAAAATTTTCAAGATTTTCAAAATATCAATACTCAGATTTATCAAAATTTACAAAATTTTTGCAATTCGCATGATGTTTGACATCTCAAAATTTTCAAAACTTGCAATACTCTTGAAAATTTGAGGATTGTAAAATTCTCTTAGATTATTGAGATGCCAGTGGAATTTTAGGAATTTTAAAAAATTTAAACGTTTTGAATATGTTCATAATTTTCAAGATTGTCATTGTTTCTAATGTTCCAAAATTTTTAAAATATGAACATTCAAAATTTTCGAAATTCTCATGATTTTTAATATTCCAAAATTTTCTAAACTTTCATTTTTTTCAAAATTGTAAAAATTTTCAAAATTGTCAAAACTTTCTAAATATCCGACATTTTCAAAATTTTCAGAATTAAAAAAAATTAGTATATTTTTGAGATTCTAGGAATTTAAAAAATTTTAAACATTTTCAATATTTTCATTTCAAAAATACTCAGGATTTTAAAAGTATTAGAGATTTTCTAAATTTTCGAGATTGTCATGGTTTCTATGTTCCAAAATTTTCGGAATTTACAAAATTTTCAAGATTTTCAAAATATCAATACTCAGATTTATCAAAATTTACAAAATTTTCGGAATTCTCATGATGTTTGACATCTCAAAATGTTCAAAACTTGCAATACTCTTGAAAATTTGAGGATTGTAAAAATCTTTTAGATTATTGAGATGCCAGTGGAAGTTTAGGAATTTTAAAAAATTTAAACGTTTTGAATATGTTCATAATTTTCGAGATTGTCATTGTTTCTAATGTTCCAAAATTTTTAAAATATCAACATTCAAAATTTTCGAAATTCTCATGATTTTTAATATTCCAAAATTTTCTAAACTTTCATTTTTTTCAAAATTGTAAAAATTTTCAAAATTGTCAAAACTTTCTAAATATCCGACATTTTCAAAATTTTCAGAATTAAAAAAAAATTGTATATTTTTGGGATTCTAGGAATTTAAAAAATTTTAAACATTTCCAATATTTTCATTTCAAAAATACTCAGGATTTTAAAAGTCTTAGAGATTTTCTAAATTTTCGAGATTGTCATGGTTTCTATGTTCCAAAATTTTCGGAATTTTCAAAATTTTCAAGATTTTCAAAATATCAATACTCAAATTTATCAAAATTTACAAAATTTTCGGAATTCTCATGATGTTTGACATCCCAAAATTTTCAAAACTTGCAATACTCTTGAAAATTTGAGGATTGTAAAAATCTTTTAGATTATTGAGATGCCAGTGGAATTTTAGGAATTTTAAAAAATTTAAACGTTTTGAATATGTTCATAATTTTCGAGATTGTCATTGTTTCTAATGTTCCAAAATTTTTAAAATATCAACATTCAAAATTTTCGAAATTCTCATGATTTTTAATATTCCAAAATTTTCAAAACTTGCAATATTTTGTAAAATTTCAATATTTTCAAAATTTTTCACGACTTCAAAATTGTAAAAATTTTCAAAGTTGTCAAAACTTTCAAAATATCCAGAATTTTCACAATTTTCAGAATTTTGAAATTTTTATACATTCTTGGGATTTCAGGAATTTTTAAAAATTTAAACTTTTCCAATATTTTCATTTCAAAAATACTCAGAATTTTAAAAGTGTTAGAGATTTTCTAAATTTTCGAGATTGTCATGGTTTCTATGTTTCAAAATTTTCGGAATTTTCTGAATTCTCATGATGTTTGATTTCCCAAAATTTTCAAAACTTGCAATAATCTTGAAAATTATTATTATTGAGACGCCAGTGGAATTTTAGGAACTCTAAAAAATTTAAACATTTTGAATATGTTCATAATTTTCGAGATTGTCATTGTTTCTAATGTTCCAAAATTTTCAAAATATCATTCAAAATTTTCGAAATTCTCATGATTTTTTATATCCAAAAATGTTCAAAACTTGCAATATTCTTAAAGATTTCAATCGTTTAACAATCTCAAAATTATCAAAATTCTCAAATTTTACGGAATTTGGAAAACTTTTGAACACTTTATACCTAATCCGTAAGCTTTCCAAAATGTTCAAAAAACTTCGAGATTTTAAAACTACCAATGAGATTTAAATTTTTAAAGGGTTTTAAAAATATTCGAAAATTACAGGATGCTCAAGATTTAAAAAATCTTCAGAATTTCCAAAATATTCAAGATTGTAAAAATCTTTATAATTTTTGAGACGCCCGTGGAATTCGTAATTACCATATATTCTAGTTGTTCCTAACTTAGCAGCTTACTGCAACGAACAACAAAGTCAGCAAGAAGACCTTTGAGATATCAATGAAAAACGAAAATTTTTAAAAAACTATGTTGGAAACCAGACTTTTAACGATACATGTCATATAAATTTTCCTACTCAAATTTGGTTCAGCTATGCACCCTTGTAATTACGGCCGATCATTAAGTAACATCATGTAAACCTATAAGCTGTAATACGATATTAAATAACATTGCATCTTTATTCCGTTGCGAGACAGTCACGAAATCAGTCCATGTGGAACACCGTGAACCGTGAGATACATTGAGTTCGATTGCACAACCGAATCGTGAACTGGACTGAGTTCGCAGAACACGTTCATTTATCATATGATTAATTTTTCCTATTTATTTATCTGAAATTGTATCTTTGACATTAGTTTCTGACATTCTCGTACAGCTATAAATCATCGGTATAGATGCGCTCGCAACAATTATGTGAACGTACGAATATACTCAAGAGCAGACAGGTATTTAGTCACTTTCTTGAAATGTAATAAGGTACCCGGGGGTAATAAGGCCCAACGCTGGTTTGCCCAAAGGAAAGCGCCTAAAATATTTATATCGCCATCTGTTAATAATATTTAGTATTACTGTTGCCGGAAATGTAATTTTGTTCTATGGTTATGAGCTTCCTGGCTTGTTCTATGGTGTCACGTTTCGCTGTGCTGTATTTTATAAGAATTTCGACCGGTAAGTAAGCAAATTAAATTGTTTTAATAATATGTAGATTTTTCATTATGTATGCATGATAATCTATGTATCTGATAGTTTCATTTTACGTAGTGTTTCTTTTTATGTTGGGTTTGTTTGTTGTTTAATAACCTCAAAATTAATTTTATTGTGCTACAGGTTATAAGGCCCAGGCCTTATTTTCTACAATGCATTGAAAAAGGCTTGGGCTTTATTTTCTGCCGCCATGAATACACGTATTCATTAGATTTATTTATTCTTTTACAGAAGATGGGTAAAAAAAGCAGAGGGATAAGGGCAAATTGGGATGAAAAGATGATGAGAGAGGCATTAAATTATATTAACGAGGGAAAATCTCAGCGCTGGGTGGAACAAAAATGCGGAATACCCAGACGAACACTTAGGAACCACATTAAATCACAAAGCGTGAAGAGAAAACTAGGTAGACAAACAATTTTGACCGATAATGAAGAGACTGACCTTGAGAATAAAATAATTCGGCTAGCCGATAAAGGTTTTCCGCTAATACCAAAAGCATTAAGAAGGTCTGTGTTCAGGTATGTTGAGCAAAAGAAAATTAGGCATTGTTTCAATCAGGAAACTCGTCTCGCTGGTAGGGAGTGGGTAAGGACTTTTCTGAAAAATCATCCGAGAATATCAAAACGTCGATCTCAATTCATGAATCCAGCAAGAGCCCTAAAATTAAATCGTTTTATCGTAGAAGATCATTTCAAAAAACTAAGAGATTTGTTGGAGCGCACTCAGTTAAAAAATAAAGAAGCAAAAATTTATAATATGGACGAGAGGGGTTGCCGCTTGACTCTTCACCACCAACAAAACGTTCTGGCAGCCAAAGGAGCAAAACGAGTGCATGTAATTTCTCATGAACACGCCGAAAACGCAACTATCGTCGCTTGCGCTAATGCTCTCGGACATGCCATACCGCCTGTCATTCTTTTTAAGCGCAAGAGAATGAAGCCAACCTACTCAGATGGCTTACCGGCTGGCTCAAAAGTGATGATGACGCCTAAAGGGAGCATGACGATAGAAACGTTTGATAAGTGGTTATACCATTTCATTGAATACATGTCGCCTCCGCCAGTAATTTTAATTTTTGATGGGGCCAAATGCCATTTGGATATTAGCATTGCTGAGAAAGCAGAAGCTCATGAGATTCACTTATATTGTCTGCCGAGTAACACCACCCATGAATTTCAGCCGATGGACAAAGCTATATTTCGAGCATTTGAAGCTTATTGGGACGATGAATTGTTAAAGTACTGGGATAAACATCCTACACGTGATTTAAACAGGGAAAGATTTTCTGAAGTTTTCACACCTACATGGCAGAAATCAATGCCCCAAGTCTTGCAACTGAGAAACCTTACCAGGAGACGACCGCCGCTGCCGATGATTCGGAATATGATTCAGATGACTACCTGCCTTTAGGTGAATTGCGTAAAAAATTAATCCCTTTTAATAATTCCTTTGCGGAAGTGTTACCAACACCAGATCTAGTAAAAAAAATCTGCTCGAAGACGTAAACCTATAAATTACAAAGCAGTTGAAGTCAAGCGATCCGTATTTTTAAAGGAGATGGAGTCTCAACTTGATCCCGTTCCAGTCTTATCGAATACCGCTAAATCGCCATCTGAATCTGTGTCTTCCATTGCATCAAAAACAAAAGAACATAACAAAGAATGGCACTGGTGTGATTTGCTTCGAAGACTATGTAGCAGATATGAGACGATGTGCTTCTTGTGGTTTTTGGGTCCATGAGAATTGTGCTGGTTTGACTGCGGACGATACTGAAAATTTTTTGTGTCCAGACTGTATGCCTTAAGTATTAGATTTATACTTAATACCATATTTTATCTTTGATACTGTTTTTTTAGTGTGTTACATTTTATTCTATCAGTATTTTGTTGAACTGTTATTTTTTTTATCTCTCATTCAAATCTCATTACATGTCGTTGCAGATATTAAGGCCCAAAGGGATATTTTTGATATTTATATTTGGTTATCATTATATTAATATTTTCTTTTTATTTTTTGATTTTTTTGTGTTTTGTTTATTCGTTTGACTTGTTTTTTGTTCATTTAAATATGGGCCTTATTATATGCACTTGCAGGCTTTAAGGCCCAGAAGACATTTTTTTTAATGTTCGCGTCTCGACATATAAGCATGATTATTTTGTGTTCATACATTACCATTATGTTAGTTTATACCCTTTTCTATTTTTTATAATAATAAAAGGTTGAAAAAGTTATTTTTTCTCGTAGATATTAATTATAATTTCTTAGGTGGGCCTTATTACCCCCGGGTACCTTAATAATAATAACAATAATGTTTAGTTGTAACGTAAAAACGGCGTAGCAAAATATATAAATGCAATCGGTATGTTACAAAAAGGGCTGAAAGCATGAAGAAGTGATCTAAGTTCGACCCTGTGGCTATTACACTTTTATGAAAAAAAAGATCTGCATTTGAGGGCTCCAAAAAAGAAAAAAGGGAACGATAGTGCAAAAAAGACTTTCGTTTGTTTGATCGTTTGTTCCTCATTTTCATTTGCGCGCAATGAAATGTTTTTCAAAAATAACTTTATATTTGATTTTAAACTGGTTTGGTTGCAGACTTTTCATGAGTTTTATTATAAAGCCGATAAATGTTGCATGAGAAAGATCTACAAAAATAGGAGGTTTCGTGAGGAGGAGCCCCGAAACCGCAATTTTAAATTATCAACATCGCTGCCAAACGTTATTCTATTGAATAAACCTGGTGGGTGCTTATAAAATAAATTGTTGTGAAAAAAATTACATGCAAGCAATTCATGTGGATATCGCATATTGAACCAGCTTGCATCAAGCAATTTTTGAAAAGAAATATTGGACAGGACTTGTGTAAACGATCAATTCTGTCCATGTCAATCTTATCTAAACAAAATCCATATATGTTATTACAAAAATTAAAATGGCTGGATGCTAGCACTTCGCTTTATTCCACAATTATAGTACAGAAATAAGGCAAGTCCGGCCTTCATGTGTTGTTATTGATATAAGAGTTCCCCACGGATCTATATTAGGGCCTCTTTTATTTATACTTTATATAAGTAATCTGGCTGAATTGTAAATTTTACATGATATGCAGATTATGCTTCAATAATAATTTCAGATCCTCGCGATAAAGTATTGGTCACTAAACTTTGGCACAAAATTGATTATTTTTTTTTATTAACTCAGAAAAGAGAGCTGTGCTAAGCTTTCGCAATGTACAAAAGAAGTTAGATGACATGAATATCAGGTTAAATGACAAACAGATCAAGTTCCATGACGACTCTACATTTTTGGGAGTATATTTAGATGGATATTTAAAGTTGAAAGCACATTGCAAGTATACGGTGCCAGTTTTATATTCACATTCATACAACTCAAATATCTTTCTTCAACGAAAACGTTTTTAAAAAGATTTATTTTTGAGAATAACCAAATACAATGATGTTAATTGAATGAGTTCTGAATCGAGACTGACTGCAAAGTGCATCATACAAACCAAAGTAAAGGACAAATGAAATGCAATACTGAAACTGATAAGAAAGGAACGTGGAGGCAAAAGTCCTTGTTCAGCATCTTCTTCTCTATAGACTGGTACATAACTTACATTTATAATAATTTACCAACAGTCTAAGCTATTACTAAGCTATTATTAAGCTATTACCGAAGCAATATTTTAAGTTAAACATATCGACATTCAGAAAAGCATAAGCTTTCTGGAAACATTTATTAATACGAGCCCCTTCTCACTTCAGTTGGCCCACTTCAAGATTTGTACCAAAATATGCCTTTATAAACTAAACATGACGAAACTATTTACTTCGAAAACAATCTATTTTCTCAAAAACATTTTAGATACACACTAGTCGTGAAAAATACATATTTGAAATCCCTTAGACCTATAACTAATAGAAGATCTGAATATGCTGTAATTGCAACATGTGTTATTTTTATGCTGCAAATTTGATTAGGAAGTGATAAAGTTGGTGTTTTCTACTATATATTATCAAAATATTCATTGTTAATATTTTAAACCTATAACACCCTGCGACATTTTTATTATTTGTGCTTGATAAGAAAAAAACTAAGATTTCAATAGTTGGGCCAACTGAAGTGGGAAGGGGCTCGTATAAGGCTTGAATCTTAGATTTGAGTGGCTGAACAAGGCATACATTCACTTTTTATATTGACATGAAAAGTTGGTTCAATATTGTCTTTGAATATGCCAAATAATCTGTAGACGATGGTTTTCCGAAAATACAACCAATCTTTCAATATCACGATTAATAATAGCCAAGGCATCACGTTTCTTGTTAGGATTGAAAGAAAAATTAATCTGAATATCGTCAGCATATAAATGTACTTGACAATTTCGGAGACATTGGGAAAGATTTGAGGTATGAATATTAGAAACCAGAGTACCCGAAATGCCCATGTTAACAAAGCTTAAGTTCAGAGTTTCGAAAAAGGGTATAATATACAGTTTCATTAAAGAATGAAACTACATCAAATCGTTAGATGACTACACAATGACCACCCCCAGACCATTCGTCATAGAGGAAGTTGCTACTACTCGTAGTATTCTTCCCAGCGCTGCCGCAGAGTAAAGTACTGTCGTCTGCTACAATTGTCATATTTCATGATATATTAACATACATTATTCTCTCAAACGCATCATCTTGCTAAATAATTTTTGCTGCTAGATATCTCTGTGGTATATACATACATAACCCACATGCTTACGTAAACGTCCACTTACAAATATCTTCTCACCATCGTCAGTTATCTTCGCATTCATCTATACACGTACGTGTCCGTTCCTAATTTTTAATAATGATATCAGCATTCTGACGAACCCAGCAATGACTTGCTCATACCGACCGAGCTTGTACGCAGGAAAAAACTGTGTCAGGCCGAACAATAAAATAATTAATGATACACAAAATTATATCTGACTAATACGATTTAAACGAGGCATTATCTTGATTGTACCGCTGGAGTTCTAGATTCATTATGGACCTCGTTGCCAAATTTAGTCAGCGGAAGCACTGTTAACGTACAGGTTATTTTCAAACACGTGAATTTGACAGGTCCGCCATTTTGTCTGAAAGATAACAACAAAGTTCAGTTTTAGCAAGTTTCCATATTTTCGATTCTTTCTTGTGAATCCTTCGCTGAGAAAAAAATTAACCAAACCAATTAAAATTTTAATCAACACAGTTAAAAAGATTAATTGATTAGGTGACAGCTGACAAGTTAAATTGGTTCAATTAAATTTTGATTCCTGTAACGGTTTGCTTGAATCTAAGAAACTAGTTTAATTAGCCAAGATGCAATCGTTTGTTTAAATTCATTAAACCGTTTACTTAGATTGAGTATACCAGTTTACTTAGAATTATTGAACTATTAAAATGAGTTCCTGCTACAAGTAAAACAGTTTAATTATTATCATTGAATTTGTTTAATTAAGTTAGGTAAAAGTGTTTGCTTCAGTTTACTAACAAGGAGGCAATGGTCAACTCCTTTGTGTAATTTAAATTAGAGAATGCAATGATTGTGTGGAACCCCTGCTATGTGACCGCATGTGACTTTTTGGAAAAGATGCGGCGTAGGTTCTTGAAGTTTTTGTCCACAACCGAGCGCACATATCCGCCTATTGGAACCCCTCACGCCGAGCTATTGCTAAAATATGGTTTTGTTAGTTTATATAATAGAAGGAAAGCACACTCTCTTGAATTTCTATACAAGACAATCCATGGTATTTACGATTACTCATTTTCTACATCACTGTTAAGGTTCAACATCCCTAAATTTTTCACTCGAACGGGTACCTTTTACCTTGCTATCCAACGAACCTACTATTACATTCACCTCTGTACTCAATGTGTTCGTGTGATGATAATCTTCAGGACTATTTTGATATATGTACTTAATACTAAATTATGATACCAAGCAAACATGTAAAAATGTCTGTTAGATTACTTTGTTTGTTACCGGGCTGTATTTCCACCAATAACTGCAAAATCTGTAAACCAGTAAATCTGTTGATCTGTTGTTTTGTTGATCACGATCTGTTGATCTATTTGTCACGATCTGTCGATCACGATCTGTTGATCTGTTAATCTGTTGATCTGTTGATTTGTTGATCTGTTGATCTATTGATCTGTTAGTCTGTTGATCGTTTGGTCGATTGATCTGTTGATCTGATGATCACGATCTGATGATCTGTTGAACTGTTGATCTGTTGATCACGATCTGTTGATCTGTTGATCACGATCTATTGATCTGTTGATCTGTTGATTACGATCTATTGATCTGCCGAGCTGTTGATTACGATCTGTTGATCACGATCTGTTGATCACGATATTGGTCTGTTGGTATGTTGATCTGTTGATCTGTTGATCTTTTGATCTGATGACCTGTTGATCTATTGATCTGTTGATTACGATCTGTTGATCTGTTGATCTGTTAATCTGTTAATCTGTTAATCTGT